GTATGTGGGAAGCCTCCTTCACATGTGCACACTCACGCTGTCTCTTTTTTAAAATATATATAACTCTCTATATATAACTTTAAAATATATATAAACAATATTGAGAGAAAGAATAAGATGAGAAAGAAAATTGAAAAAGGAGAAAATAGTAGAGATCAAAAGTGAGGAAAAAAAGAGAAAAACAAGAAAAGAAAAAAAAATTGACTTCCGACCCTCCTTGCAACAGATATAAGTAACAGTATACATCAAACTCTTACCCTAAATTTAAACCATAACTTTCATTATTTCTATTAACCCATATTCTAAACATCAAATCCGTACAACATGATTTCATTTTTTTCTGTTTCCCACAAAAAGACCAAAAAAGTTTTCAGTTAGCATTACAATTACACAATGTCTTATCTTGAGTCACACCCATCAATTTCGCCATCTCAGCCAATTCCATCAGCTTCACCATCCATTCCTCCGCTGTAGGTAATGTCTTTCCACCTCTGTGCATATAAAAGCCTTGCTGCTGTGATCATATATGAAAACAAAGTTCCATGAGTTTTTTCCAACTTTATCCATCAAACCCAACAGGAAAGTCTCTGGTTTTAATTGAATATTAATCATTAAAATCTTCTGTATACAGAAGTTTTTTGCTTTTTTACAAGTCCACCAGAGATGATAAAATCTCCCTTCTTGTTCACATTTCCAGCATACATCTGAAGTACGTTTATACATTTTAGACCGTTTATCTGGTGACAAGTACCAACAATACATCATTTTATAAAAATTCTCTTTAAGATTATAACACAATTTAACTTTCAATCCTTTCTGCCACATAGGTTCCCACTGTTCCATCTGTATGTTGTAGCCAAAGTTTTTAGCCCATTTTATCATTGCAGTTCTTGTTCATCTTCTGCCTCTAGTTTCAGTAAAAGTTTATACATCTTTGCAATAACATGTTCATAATTCGTACATAATTCTGCTTCAAATTCAGTCTTACCATATTCAAAACCATAAGCCCTTTTATCTATTTTAAGTCTTGTAATTGTACATAGGAAAACCATTCACACATGTATCTTTCTGATATCAATTCCTCTTTTGTCTTTAACTTAAAATCCCTTTGAGAAAATTCCAATAAGTTACCTTAAGTTAACCATTTATTTTCAGTTATCATTTCTCTTCTATAAAAAGCTTCTTGCGGTGACAACCATAAAGGAACCTTCGAAGACAACGTAGATTTATATCTATTCCATATTCTCAATATGGCATGATTAATAAAATCATTTTTAAAATCTACATTAACTTTAACTTTATTGTACCATAAATAGCTCTGCCACCCAAATCTTAAGTACGCCCTTCTAGTTCCAATAACCTTCTATTTCTCAAAGTGATCCACTTTTTCATCAAAACCAAACAAGCTGCAAAGTACACCTTCAAATTCAGGAAAACCAAACCACCTCTTTCTTTAGCGTCTTGTAAAATTTTGTACCTAATTCTTGGTTTTTTACATTGGCACACAAATTTAGATATATCTTTATGCCATTGTTTAAATGGAACATCAGTTTTCATAACAGGTATTGGTTGAAACAAAAATAATATTCTAAGTAAAACATTCATTTTAATTACTGAAATTCTTCCCAACAAC